GTGGAGTTTCCTCATGTTCTTGTAGAAACCTCTCTAGTATAATCCGAGCCATTAATGAGGGTGCATAGTCCACCTTTACAAAACAGAAGTCAAAATGAAAACTGTCAACTTGTGCAAGCAGCTGATACTCCAATATTTTGTCAACACTGAAGAATAAGTCAATTTTAATCAACCACCACAAGTATCATTCATTAAAATCTTTCCTACTCTTGGTGGTTTCCATTATAAGAAAGCCAGAACAAGTATAATCTGTGTTGTTGAAAAGAATAAATGGGTTAAATTTATTGACTATAATATCAGAGTAAAAAGGATGGAACAACTTGGAAACATCATATTCATCTAAAACAGCAATATGGACTCTTCTCACCCCTCTTCAATCTTTTTCCCTTGGTAGACCAATATTATTTTTTAATGCTAGCCATCCTTTCTACCCAATTATATATATTTACGTTGTTCTGAATGTAATTTCAAATAAAAAAGCTTTTTGTTATTTATCACCCAAATCACAATTAAAAAAAAAAAAAGCTTTTTGTTATTTAGTGACTGTGTTCTCAGAAGCTGGATTAAATGCCCTTAGTCATTAAAAATATGGATTTTATGAATTTCATTTTAATTTACCTTTAAAGACTTAACTTGAGTTTTTGGTATAAGCTCTTTACATATAAAATATCTTGTTCGATTAAAAAGAAAAATAGCTATACTGCAGAGATATTAATGATACAACAATAATAATGAATGCAATATGAAATCACCATCCTTAGGCTTCTCTGAAATGTTACTTTTAAATTTAGTTAATTTAGAACCCAGGAAGGTAAGATTTTTATAAAGAATCAAACAGAAAACAAGGAATATCCAATCCAGCAGTCACTCTGATTAATTAAAAATGTACCTACACTTTTGGAAACATATTGTCTTCTCTTTGGTTCTCAGATCATTTATTAACCATTGATTTAATTGTACCAGAACCTAAATATTTTCTTTCTTCCTTCTTTTTTTTTTTTTAAAGAGCAATAATGCTTCCCTAAAACAAGTCTTTGTATTTTAGCTGTAAGACAGTAAATGTTCTTCATATATTATCACCATGAATTTTCCTTGACAGGTTTTCAAGTCCCATATTCATACCAAAATTTTATCTTGATTTAGTAACTAGACAAAAAAGGTTGGCTTCATTTGTATGAACAGTTTTTTCAAATATGTATGTACTTGGATGCCCTTAAATTCCCCAAGTAGAAAGAAATGCTTTCCACGAAGCTGCTTATTCTAGTAACCCACATCAGAGCTGACACATGAAAAATGGTGAAATTACTGAAGGTAGTCCAGCCTGAATAAGGACTACCTTATTAGTTCAGGTACTTGCATCTCCCTAATTTTCATATTAATCATGTGTCCATCTTTCTCTGAAATAGGGCCATCATGCTTCATGTCAGAATTTAGCATGTAAGTAAAATTCATAGTGCTTCAAATCTTGCTTGAAAATATTTGTGTGGAGAGAACAGAGTGACTGATCTTATTATTGCTAACAAAATGAGATTTCTTAAAATGTTCATTTTTAGCCCTGAAACAGGAAATCTAGTATTAAGACACTTCTAAAGTCAACGATGGTCACAAATAGCCCCTAGCTCCAAAATCAACACTAACACAGGGCTCTGTTTAAGAGAGCGACTGCACACTATAATGCACCTATGTTCTATATTTCTCATCAATTTTACAGTTTCCACTGATTAAGTATATATTGACTCATAAAGTGTTACCATCACATCAAATGTCACCAAAGGCAAGCATATGTCATTTAAGTATTAACTATAACATAAAAATGGCAGCTTGGTTGTTTAGAAGCCATAATCTGGAATCAGCCATTCCCAAATTTTCCTAACACATTAGCAATCTTTCAGATAGTGCTATCTTATCTGTATCCATCTGCAGCTACAGGGGGTGGTGTGGAGGGGTATCTTTAAATAACTATTTATGTCCTTTGACTAAATACAGCTATATGCTCATGCTAAATAACAGGCTTATTGATGTAGGCAAAAATGTGTTTGTTGGGTTAAAATTTTCCATATTACTCTAAGATGGAAGCTGAGGTCCTCAAAATAAACTAAGCTCAACAGAATTATTCATTAACAATTCAAATGAATATAAATTGCTATTATATAAAACATGTTATCAATATCATCATCTACAGATATGAGCATTAATTACAGTTTCATCACATTCTTCCTAGATGGTGTATCTAGAATGCTGTTAGCTCACTCTTCTTTTACTTATAGGATAATCACTAAATTCCTAGTTATAGCTCAGATACTTGAAGTTACTAATAGTAGCAACTCATAAACACATCTGGAGACATATTAAAACCACCCAGCTCTCCTCTGGGAATAGAAAAAAAAAAAAACGAATAAAATACATGTTTTGCTAGGAGGAGGAGAGAAATCCATTCTATATGTTAACTATCCTATCAGATTGTGTAGACTTTGCCTAGACCATTAAAACCGTCAAGTAACTGATAGGTAATTGCTCATTTGCTGACTGCAGCGGTGTACAGCAGACAGAAGCTGTGAGAGAAGCCATCCCTCCTTGCTAATATAACATGTAGAACTTGCTGCTATTGCAACACTTAATGCTCACAGCACCGAGTCATCTTTAATGCAAACACACATTTTCTGCCTTGCTTCTATGTTTTCCATTATAATGCAACACAAAAACAGTGTACATTTCATTCCATCCCTATGAGGTTTGCATAAGCAGTTCCAAGTCAGCCTAAATATTGTATTGCTCTTATTACAGTGGATAAATATTTTAAAGTTTAGGAATTAAATATTTTATTTTTTCGGTATGCTCTCTGCAACTATTATGAACTTTTTACAGCTTCTTCATTCATGGGAACTCTTTAGGGTTTCCTTTTTTAAATGTAAGACTATTATTTGTTTCTCCAAACAGATGCAGATCAGAGTTAACAAATAAGTTCAATAAATCACCTTATACTTGGTGTTAATAAGAACCCTTTGCTTCTTCATGTTAAGCGACTTTTCTACAAGGCATGTGTGCCTCATTATAATAAAAGTTTCCAACAACAACAAAAAAGAATCAAATAAATGTCACATCTCTAAATATACAAATTTTCTATTCATTTTTATAAGTATTAGTATCGATTTTCCTGGCATACGTCTCTGTACTTGACAAAGGTATTTCTCACATTAAATTAAGATAATACAGCCTAAGAAGAACAAGTCCTGAGATGTTTGGTTGAAATTTTCCACAAAATCAGAAACCAAGCTGTCTATACATTTGCCTTAAAAGAAAGAGACTAATTATGTTAACTGATTTATTAATACATGAAGTTCTTAGTCCAATTATTAGAAGTACAAAGAGATCAGGGAGCAATTTAAATGTCTAATGTACCTCAAAATAATTTTTTTAAGGGCAATTACAATTCTAAGCAAATCTACCCTAGATAGGCCCCTTAGGTTTTATACAGGTTTAAATAAAATAATAACATCAATAGCATTACCTCATTGGCCAGCTCCAGGAGCACTGGGGCAGCTCCATTTTTCACCACTCCATTCAGGTACCTAGACAAGACAAAGCCAAGTGGTAATGCACTGACAAGAAAAGGCCAGCATAGACATGTCAGCCTCCCCTGTGTGTACACGTTTCTCCTGGGCAAATGCCACGCTCAACTCTAGTTAAAGTATGCTACTGTCATAGGAGAGCATTAAAGGGAAAAGGATAACAAAAACAACTTACCTCTAAACCACTGGTAATGAACTTACTGAAGTTGGGGGCAGGAAGTATGACCACACGGGTTTCCTTTGTTTTCACTTCCTAACAGGTGAAGCTAACACAGAGGTGATTTCTAAAGAACTCTGCACATCACCCTGGCTTTGTCTATACAGCAAACCACCATTGCATGGAAAGGGAAGAAGTTGATTCTTATACTCTGAATAAAACATCTCATTGTTTTTTCTTTGCTTCATAAGACAATTTGACACTTTATTAAGGGGGGAAAAACAGGGACACATCTGTCATCAGTGGGTCTACACACCTTTGATGGGCAATACAAACCATCATCTCCTCCGTCCTGGATTTAGAAAATAGCCTCCAGCTTTCTCTGTCCCCTAACTCCAATAAAACAAAAGAGAAAGAACATCCTCAAATCCATCCTAGACATGGAAGCTGGGTGATTTTTTTTTTTTAATAAAAATTTAAATGTGCCATTTTCTTCCTTAAAACACTTCAAAGATTGCACATTTAAATTATATAACCATTTGTATAAAGTCTGCATAATTTATTTACTACCTACTATGGAACTTTATCTCTACTCATTGTCTCTCAGCATTACCCTTCACCTGGATAACTCATGATGCTATTTAGATGTCACCTTCTTCAGCCCCTTACAATCAAAGAGCAAGTTAAGCATCCCTTGAATGTAATTGAGGAGTACCCTGTACATCTATCACTTAGAATAGACTAGTATTTGCCTAGTTACTTGTGTCTGTCAACCCCCACTTTCCCACTCAGAACAAGGGAGAATGCCCCATTAGGCTAGGGGAACTGTATTTTATTTAATGTATTATGCCAAGTACAGTTCTTGCCTTATATAGTTAGGTGTCACTGAGTTGGTTCTGACTCATACCAACAGGACAAAACCTCACCCACTCCTGCTTCATCCTCACACTGCTTGAGCTCAGTGTTGCAGCCACTGTCAGTCCATCTTGTTGTCTTCCTCTTTTACACTGACCCTCTGCTTTTAAAAACCCTCTGTTTTTAAATGACTTGAGTACAATATTTCCATTTCTCCAAAGAAGATATGTAAATGGTCATTAAGGTCATGAAAAGATGAAGAGATGAAAATCAAAACCATAATGAGAGACTACTTCACACCCACTGTTGTTGTTATATGCCGTCAAGTCGGACTCAACTCATAACGACCCCTCCTTGGGTTTCCAAGGCAGTATCACTACGGAAGTAGATTGCCCCATCTTCTTTCCGAGGAGTGGCTGGTGGGTTTGAACTGCCAGCCTCCTGGTTAGCAGTCAAGTGCCTTAGGCACTATGCTACCAGAGCTCCCTCACACCCACTAGGATTGCAGAAAAACAGAAACAGTATTGGAGAGGATATGGAGACGTTGGAATCTTTGTAAATTACTGATTGATGCTGTTATTTTTCTTAGGTGCAGTCAAGTCAGCTTCAACTCATAGCCACCTTAGACACAACAGAATGAAACATTGACTAGTTCTGCCACTGTGCTTGAGCTACTGTGTTGTAGTCATCTCATTGAGGGGCTTCTTTTATGCTGAATCTCAAGCATGATGTCATTCTCCAGGAACTGGTCAGTCCTGATAACATGTCCAAAGTATATGAGACAAAGTCTCACCATCCTCATTTCTATTCATTCATTCATTCATTCATTCATATTGTGATTTAGGTGCAGATTTACAAAACAGATCATTTTGCACTCAACAGTTCATACACATTTTGTTTCATGGCACTAATTACAATCCCCACAATAAAGAGCTCACCTTCCATCTCCTCCCTGCGACTACCCCTTCCCTGTGTCCTTCTTACCTATGCATTCCTGTCTGTCTAGTTTCTCCCTGTGCAAATGCTGCCCTTCTGATCTCTCATGGTTGATTGTTCTACATGATGCATCCCCCTGCAGTAGGTGTTCCACTACCAAGCCTTTCTGCTGTTTGGCTGAGAGCTAACCCACAGGAGTAAGTCCAATTCCAGGTCCAATGGGTAACCTGGGGCCATAGTTTTGGGGGTTTCACCAGTCTCTAACTGACCAGTAATTCTGGTCAGTTTTGTGTTTTTGAATTTTGTTCCACATTTTTCCTCCCATTTTATCTGGGATCTCCGATTTTGATCCCCTTCCCAGTGACTGGCATGGGTAGCCAGGCACCATCTAGTTCTAGTCTCAGGGTCATGAAGGCTGAGGTTCCTGTGGTCCATTAGTCCCTTGGACTAATTATTTCTATATGTCTTTCATTTTCTTCACTTCTCTTTGCTTCATATTAGGAAAGAACAATAACTGCATCTTACACGGCCAATTGAAAGCTTTTAAGTCCCCAGTCATTACTCACCAAAGTAGGATGTAGAGCAATATTTTTTATGTACTATGTTGTGCCAGTTGAGCTTGATACCCCTCAAGACCATGGTCCCAAGCCTGCAGACCTCACCATACTCACTTCTAAGAAGCATTCAGACTGTACTTCTTTCAAGACAGATTTGTGTATTCTTCTGACATTCGATAGTATATTTAATATTCTTAGCCAGCACCATAATTCAAGGATACCAATTCTTCAAATAGCCTTATTCATTGCCCACCTTTCATATGCATATGTTGTTGTTTTCATTAGGTGTCATCAAGTCAATTCTGATTCACAGCAACCCTATGTACAACAGAATGAAACACTGTCTGGTTGTGAGTCATCTTCATAATCCTTGCTATGCTTGAGCCCATCACTGTAACCAGTGTCAGTCTATTTCATTGGGGGCTTTCTCTTTTTCACTGACCCTCCAATTTACCAAGTATGATATCCTTCTCCAGGGAATGGTCCCTTCTGAAAATATGACCAACGTAAGCGAGACAAAGTCTGGCCACAGTTGCGTCTAAGGAGCATTCCAGCTGCACTTCTTCTAGGGCAGATTGGTTCATTCACATGCGTATGAGCCTGAGTCAGGTGCACATTAGTGTTCAAAGTGACATCTTTGCTCTTAAACACTTAAAAGAGGTCTTTTACAGCAGATTTGCCCAATGCAAAATGTCATTTGAATTCTTGATTGCTGCTTCCATGGGTGTTGATGTGGATCCAAGTAAAATGTAATCCTTGACAACTTCAATCTTTTCTCCATTTATCATGAAGTTACTTTTGGTCCAGTTGTCAGGATTTTTGTTTTCATATGTTGAAATGTAATCCATACTGAAGACTGTCAAGAGGATCAAGTATGGGTAGGTGAATGGTTATATGCCCATGACTATATATAATTTTGGCAGATGATATTTCTATATACTTACTTATATGTGCTATAAAAATGTCCATATATATAATAAAGTGAACAGGGGGCAAAGTTATAATAACTTCTTAGCCACAATCAAACACCTTGAGGGAATGAGTTGCTGGGCACATGGGCTTGGGACCATGGTCACAGGACACATCAAGCTCAATTGGCATAATATAGTACACAAAAACATTATTCTACATGCTACTTTGGTGAGTACCAACCAGCAGCCATATAAGATGCAACTATTGGTCTCTCTTCATCTGGAACAAAGAAAGAAAGATGCATGGGAACAATTACTCCAAGTGATTTGTGGACAATGGGAACTTCCATCTACACAACTGAGACCAGAAGAAATAGATAGTGCCCAGCTACCACTGCCAACCACTCAGAAAGGGATCAAAGTTGGAGATCCTGGATAAAGTAGGAGAAAAGTGTGGAACACAACTCAAAGTAACGGGGAAAAAAACAGCTTTACTGATCTGACAGAGACGGGTGAAACCCCTGAGACTATGGCCCCTAGTCACCCTTTAGGCCGAGAATTGAACTCACTCCCATGGCTTAATTTACAGCCAAACAACAGACATGCCTATGGAGTGAACAATTATACCAGGTAGGTGCACTCCTTAGAATAATCAACCATGGGAGAATAGAAGGGCAACATTTGTTCAGGGAGAAAACTCAGAAGGCAGGAACAGAAAGGAAAGAAGGACACAGGGAAAATGTAACCACATGGAGGAAGTGGGAAGAGTGTTGTTACAAAAATCTAAAATAAATAAGTAAAATATACTTAGCCCATAGAATCTTTCAATATTATAACTCAAGGCTTGAATTTTTTCTTCTGTTATTTCAGCTTAAGAAATGTTAAGCATGTATATCCCTTTTGGTTTTCTATCTCCAGATATCTGCCATTTCATTATAATATTTCATTTTGTCCTCTCAAGCTGCCCTTTGAAATCTTCTGTTCAGCTCTTTCCTTCACTACTTTTTTCCATTCACTTTAGCTACTCTGTTCATGAGCAAGTTTCAGAGTCTCTTCTGAAATCCATTTTGGTCTTCTCTTCCTTTCCTGTCTTCTTAATGACCTTTTGCTTTCTTCATTTATGATGTCCTTGATGTCATCCTGCAACTCATCTGGCCTTCAGTCATTAGTGTTTGAAGTATCAAATCTATTCTTGAGATGGTCTCTCAATTTAGGTGGGATATCTCAAGGTCAGGAGCTCTGGTAGCATAGTGGCTAAAAGCACTTGACTGCTAACCAGAAGGTTGGCGGTTCAAACCCACCAGCCACTCCTCGGAAGGAAGGTTGGGCAATCCTACTTCCGTATCACTTCCGTAGTGATACTGCCTCGGAAACCCAAGGAGGGGTCACTATGAGTCGGGGCCGACTCGACGGCACATAACAACAACAACAATCTCAAGGTCACACTTTGGCTCTTGTGGACTTGTTTTAATTTTCTTCATCTTCAACCTGAACTTGCATATGAGTGATTGATAGTCTGTTCCAAGTCCACCTTGGCCTTGTTTTAATTTCTCCATCATCTCTTTCTAAAACTGTAGTCTATTG